TGCTTCCAGAGCTTCTATTCTGTCAAGCTGTGTTTCACTTATAAGGATGTGAGAAAAATCAAGCTCCTCAATCTGTGAACGTAATCGAGTTCACATATAATTTTATGGCTCTTTCCGTCAAAGGGTAACGGTAAACAGTCCCTATACCATCACTTGCACAAGATTCTGGCTTACAATTTTGCTCAAGTTTTGATTGCATACATGAAGTGGTTGCGCAAAAAAAGGTTTTTTTAACAGAAGAAAGAGAAGTCAACCAACGCGGGCAGTAGAAATGAAATTGAGATCAAATGAAGAGCAAGCTTCATATTAAAGTAGGGAGATGAACGACAACAAAATGTTCACCGTCTAGTCTTGAAGGAATAATTTGTTGACGTTTGGCTTTCCTGCGGACTGTTTTTGCTACAATTTATGAAATTGTATATCATATACGATTCTGGTCTCCTGACAATAAGTAAGCCTCAGTTGTAGTCGTTAAGATTGTTTTGGCTGAGTCTGATATCATAACTTCTCGGGAGACCTGCCATTTCGTACAAATTGCGATTACCAGAAAAGTTGGTTAGAAAGATCGTGATTATAGCCAAAAGTTTAGGCTAATGGCACGGCTAGGTGCTAGTCATTTTACCCTAGGTATATGCAGATATCTACCGTAACCCTCAAAAATTTCTAGCGCCAACCTCACCTGGTCGATTTATCAAATGGAACTGGGCCAAGCTCATTTAGTATCCATAAAGATTACTAAAACTTTTCTACACAACATTTTCCTAGCCTAACGCTGTGATTTCGGACCTATTGCACAAGTTCTATTCATTGGGAATGATTGGAAATTACCAGAATTGAAATTATCTGACAAGTCAATACTTAAATCCGTTTCTGACACTGTAAGTTGTCAATGTTAGTCGCTAGTAAACGAGGTGATGACGTCGATACAGAATTTTCTCGTACACTTTCCTAGATATAAGCATGGAATCGACAAATTCAATCCATTCCATATAATATCTCTGTATGAAATTTTGTATGAATTCGTGAGTTTCATAAATATTAGGTTAATGCAAAAATAATTCCCATTTTGCGAGTTCTCACTTCAATGTGCTTTGATTTTTTGTAAAACCTACATTTCTGCGAATACAAAATTTTTTTTCTAAAACCTTGTATCGACATGTCATAACTCCCTTCAAAAATTATTAGTTCCAATGATAAGTTCTCTGTCTTGTAGCCGCAACTCGATAGGACAAAAGAGGATGGAAAGTGCTTGGACAGAGAAAATTTGCGGAAAGAAAAAAGTGAAAATTCAATGTCAGTTTTTTTCAATTTTCACTAGGTTTAGAAAGTCTTGAATCATAGAACTTGTGATTTTCCGGGTGCTGAAAACCTGATTTTTTTTTTTGCAAAAAGTGTCAGCAGGATGCCTTTACGCTTACAGAAATAATCAGAACTTCGGCGTTTGTCTTCTTCAAAAGAAATTCGTCATAAAATGACCGCACCTCTGCCCATGAGGAGAGTCAATATTACAGTCTAGATACTTTCAGAGAAAATAGTTGAGTGTGCGCTTTTTCCTTCACATACATTAGCTGAATTTTCGAAGAAGCGTCGCTCTTTTGTGTTCAAGCAGGCTGAAAAATTATGATGAAATCTAATTTTGGATTATCTGAAGCTCTGTAATTTCTTGAAAGGCGAGACTGAAAGTCCGCTTCAATCATCACTGGACAGAGCATGAGAAAGGCTTCTCAGTGGTATGCTCTTGTTTCAAAAGAGATATTGGCTGAAAAAACGTCTCCTGAAAAAAGGCTTGCGAAAACGGCCACTTTCACATCAAGCTGATACAATTCCCATATCAAGAACTGTAAATTGCTGCTCTGCGTTGTTAGGGAATGGCGGACTGACCAACATTGAAAAATCAGCAAGAGCGGAAAAAAGTGAATTTTGTTGCTATCAGTTTAGAGCATAAACTCTGTATATAAATGATTTTCATGACGGTTTTGATGAAAAAAGTATTCGACGTGCAACGTAGGTCATATCTTCCCTTTCGGCAAAAGAAGTATTCGATCAAAATGCAATACTATGGTTTGTAACATTATATTCAAAATCTCAACCAAGAAACCCACTATGCGTGGTCAGCTGTTGTTCCAACTCTCTTCTACAAAAAAAAAACTTTTTTAAATGGCAATCTTTAATAGAATACTTTGTATGAGATGTCCAATGCTCCATGAGTCATGCTACAAATCAAGTTTGTCTTTTTGGAACAGGAATATGGTAATTTGCCACATTTTTGTATTCATACGAGATTGCAGTGCTGTATATAATATGTCTGGTGAGCTTTAGGCATGAGAGTCTCCAAAGAATGGCGAATCATAGATAGCAAAAACCACAGAAACACAGAACTGTCGAAATATAGCTGTTTTGGACAGATTGTTAGGGTCCTTTTAAGCTTAGGAGCAGGAGAAAATGTATGCCTAGCTTTGAAGTTTACTGTTGTTCAATGACGACAGAGCCTGTGTAGATCAGAAGAGATTCAGCTCACTCGAGTGTTTAACGAAACTATGATACAATATGATTTTTGCTTCTCCTGACTCAGGATGTCTAACTAGCAGTGGCGGTCTAAGGGGGGGGGGAAGAGGTGGAGGGAGGGGGAGGGGGCGGAAACGCACCTCCCCCGAGAACGGGTCACGAAATTTCTGAAAATTGCTTATGTGGGTTATAAAAATGTACAGGTGACTTGTTTAGTCCTGTAGGTAAATGATTAAAATAATGTTTAAAAATTTTTTAAACATTCAAGTTAGCCCTATAGAAAGACATTTTTTCGGAAGCGTGGCTGTCGCCACGCCCTCCTTTGGTTTCATGGGTTGTGAGCCCAGAAAAATTTTGAAAAGCACCATCAAAAGTTTTTCGGAGGGCGTGGCTAACGCCACGCACATTTATTTGAAGAAAAACTTGCCCCCCCCTCCCCCCAGGACGGGAATTCAGGGACCGCCACTGCTAATAAGCTATTGTCAAGTTATTTCTTGAACTCAAATTTCTATTCAACGTAGCCAAAAAGTCCACGCGTTTACATCAACAACTACCCTAAGAGAAGTGAACTTGGGTTATTCAAAGAATTGTTCGTTTTTACAAGAATTGTTATTTTATTGTTACTTTGGTTAGTGAACTAATTATTTCTGACACACAGAATGATCATTACTGTTACTCCGTTCAAACTGTTGACTGGCTAATAATCAATTTCGGTCGCTTTGACAGTTCAAAGAAATTACAATAAATTTTTGCCAGTGTTTGTATCTTAGAAAAAAGTATGTAACGAGAATGGGAGTTGAACTCTTTTTGATAATTATATCTTTGTATGAAGAAAGTATTGTTAGTAGTGTATGCTAAGTAAGATCTTGGTGTATTGAATAAAATACTCGTTTTTGCACTTACAAAGCATAAATACGAAATTCGAAAAAGTAAAGAACTGAGTTTTTCTAGCCATTATGAGACAAAACTGTCCTATTTACCATATAGAATTTTGAATAGTTGATATGCGAAAGCAGAAGCTCTTGGAACTGCCTCCTCGCAGAACATGACATTAATAGCAATATGAATTTTTATAAAGTTACCTAATTCCACGAGTACAAGACGCAACCATTTTTTTTCGGAACTCGATCAGCCCGAACACAGTAAAAAATTTCGCGACCAAAGGAATGTCTATCGTGCTGCTGCTTACCCAAAATTGCGTGAGAAAGCCAACCTAGTAGTATATAGTACACCGCCATCTCCGTTCAGATTTCGCAGTTCATTTACTGTTCAAATTTGAGCATCTCTAGTTGGAAGAATTGAAAACTTGAACAGATGGCTTTGAGAACTATTTGAATAACATTTAGTTTAGTAACTCAAGTAGGGACTATTTATGTGAGCCCGAATCATTCACAGATAACAGGTTGCAATTTGACTATGATGTAAATTTTCAAGGCTCTTGTCTAGTCTGTGATTTTGAAAACGAAAGCGGAGGATACCATTTGTCGAGCTAACGAGGGAATGATCCGAGATGGAAATGACCAATCCAATCAAGCTGCATATCATTAGATGCAGCATAAAACGTTGACTTCGGATCTGTAATCCATATCTGCTTAGCGCCTATGCGGCGAATTTACGAGCCATTAAAAGCTCGTTGTCTTGCTAGGAAATCGTGCATGCAAAGCGCAAATTTGGCAGTACAGAGCCACGTTCGACTTAATGCTGAGCCAAAACATGAGTTAGTTTACCTTATATTCTTAGAGCCTAAAGGTTAGCTGAAAGTGCAACAATGCGCAGTAATTATGTAAATATTTTTGCAATAAAACTGCTCATAACTTCCTCCACAAAGGCACTAAGCAGATAAGAAATACAGATTCGAAATCAGTGTTGAATGCTGTAACGAATGGTAGGCAGCTTGTTTGAATTGGCCACTTCGACTTCTGACCATTCCCTTGTAAGGACAAAGATTATTGATTTGTGCCAAGATCACTGCAAACCCTACTCAAACAAAATCTAGAGAATATTTATTTGAAGACTAGGTTAAAGAGACTATTTCAGCTGGAGTCTAAAAGCACAAGACGTGCTTTGACTTGACCGTCCTCCCAAAACTGTTGAGATCTATAAGTGGCAAAAGGAAATGAGCTTATCAAACAAGAAAATTTGAAAAAACATGATTTATGGATGAGGATTTGCGAGAGGGGCATATTTTGATAGAGGTCAAACATGGATGCAAGTATTCGGATAATAAAATTAAGAACAAAAATTTTTGACAAAAACTATAAATGGAATCGCAGTTGAGCTATGAGACGTAATCATCTTTCACAAAGCATACATTTGATTGAGGTGATTCTTTATGCGCTGGGACGGAGTGGACTTAAATCGTAATTACGTCTATTCATATCAGGGGAAACTACTTTTTCATTCTTTTTTATTGCTCAGGATGAGCCAGAATGCTCTTTCGTTCAGAGCATATCTTGTACTGAATTGCATTTGTACCTTAACAAGCTTTGCTGCTTTTCAGAGAATGGCAGCTGCGTTACAAACGCGGACATTGCAGGCGATTTTCCATGAGTCTGAACAGGTTGATTTTTTTTTCAAAGAAACAAAATTCTTTACTGCCCACTTAAAATTCTTCTTCCACGCTCAGGTCATCAGACAGCTGACTGAGCAAGAGATCGAGGAGTTCAAAGAGGCATTTCTTCTCTTCGACAAGGACGGAAATGGAACGATTTCCACTAAGGAGTTGGGCGTTGCTATGAGGGCTCTTGGCCAGAATCCAACTGAACAGGTAATTTTTCAGTATGGAGTCTTTTGGAGGCTCAACGTGAAAATCGAAAAAAAATCTTATGAAGGTAAAAACATTGTGGGAATTGACAAAGCAGTACTGCATAACTATAATGTGTTTTCCATATCATTTCGTTCGCAGTAGTTCAGATTTTATTTCAAGCAAAAAGTAGTCTCAGAGAGCTTATTAATGTAAAGAGTGCGCAAGATCACAATAAATCCTTCTACTTGTCTTTTTTTCTCTTTTTCATGCACCAAGCATATGATAATGCCTTCAGAATGCCCCACATTCTGTTTACGATCTTAGCAGCGCTTTACAATCACAGCTTATGACTTATGAACCTTTTTCGTTTTCCTCGCTCTGTACATGGATAAAATGGACATCCAGCACGATGTAAACGTCAAAACGGTTGATGACTATTACATACGCGTTCAATAATCGTCCGTTTAGAACAAGGGAATGAAATGGGCAAAAAAAAGGAAAGTGTGTTTCAACGCAAAGATATGAGAGGACAATGAGCTTGTTACAACTCTTCCATAACAAAGCGTTTTGAGAAGAAAAGTGCTGGGCAAGCCAAAAGCCGCCGTTAAAACTTTCACAGTCTAGACCCTAAGTGTGATTGCCTTGGAGTAAGCAGTTGACTTGAGAAAATTTAGAACTTCTTTGTTTCATCATAATTACTCGAGATGAAAATAACACGGAATAGTAATTTCAGAGAAACAATATGTCTGATTTGACTGCACTTGCGAGTGAGTGAAACAAAAGAGTATGAGCGTATATTTAATCTTAATTTAGGAAACAAAAACAACAAAAACCTATACCTATCCTGACTGAAGACAACAAAAGCTATTCTCAACCAAATTATATTCTCATACTGAATCTGCGCTACTAGCTCTTGATGTGAAAAGCGCTAGTGCAATGTTACTCCATTTGATGATAGAAACTTATTGCTCAAAATTAGGTTTAACTAAGATTTGCCGAAATTCACTTGCATCTATCGACGTCCGTAGTTCCCTCGTAATTATGACCAACTATTCGTAATGGAATTGGCTGAGCGAACTTCCAAGGTTGATAACACTTCTTTATTCGCTAACGTTTCGACGCTTTCGCCTTCTTCAGAGCCTGCAAGCCGAAAGTATATGAACCTACTCGCCCAGACCCTTACTTTCGGCTCGCAGGATCTGAAGAAGGCGAAAGCGCCGAAACGTTAGCGAATAAAGAAGTGTTATCAACCTTGGAAGTTCGCTCAGCCAATTCCATTACGAGTATCCACCATGCCAAGGTTGAGAGACAGCCGCAAACGGACAATCCTGAGCAACTATTTATTTTTGAGAACTAGTGTATACAGCGAATTTCAAAAGTTTGCTTGCGGCTTACCTTTAGTTCCAACTCAATTACACTAAAATATGATGTTAAAGAACGCTGACTGATTGCTTGACTCGCCGTCAGCAAGTCAAGCAAGAAATTCAGGGTGTCCCAAAAAATGGATGTGCATACTGCTAGTAGTTCTTTTGCTTTGAGGTTTTTTGCCGACCTTTGGGTATTGTGTACTGTAGAGCTGGCTTTAACCTATGGATTGTATGGATAATATGGATACTTACAACTGAGCTCATAACTCGGGTGGAAAAAACGGGGTGCGGCATATTATCCGCGGCGCAACAGTCGGAAGGTCATAACTCCGTTCAAAATCATTTTTACAGTTTTTTCTGCTCATTTTTGGAAAGCTACTGGCACAAGGAATCAGAAAAACATAAAATTTTCCAAAATCGCATGTCCTCAAGAGAATCAGCACTATCGCGACGGAATTGCCAAAAACAAAAACGTCGCATGGTCGTAACTTGATTCAAAATAGGAATTTCGGATTTCTGTCTGTATTTTTGAAATGACGGCATCATAATGGTTGGAAGGACATAATAATTTTTGGAAATATACTTTTTTGGGAGATTTTAGCAGTTATGCGATAGAAAAATCGCGACGAAACCGTCGCAATCGCATAACAACTTGGAAAAATAATTTTTTTGATTTTTTGTTCTAATTTAAGTTCTTTGACGTTACAATGATTCCCAGCAAATAAGATTAAGATAGTATAGAGCGAATCTCTGATCTCTCGTTACTGTAGATTTATAGAGCTTTAAAGAAGGTACTAAGGCACCGGAAGTCGCGTTTTGCCTCAGAAAGGGAACCACAAGCAAAAGTTCTTATAGGCGTACAGGAATCGACAATTTCAAATATGAAATTTGCAGATTACAGACATGCTTTTTTTCACAAATAATTCCATGTAAGCCCTAACACCTGCTTTTATAATGTGTTTTTCGTGAATGTGGTTGAAGTCCTAAAAAAAGCTCGGACTTGTGAAAAAAGACTGTCTAATGAAATCAGCATACGTGAAAATCTTACACAATTTTATCGAAATTTCTTTGGAATTTCTTCAACAAACGGCCTATTTCGCAATGGTTCTCTACGTTGAAAGTTCCTAACGTAATCCTACATTAACGAGAGATCGGTGACTCGCTCCAAACCGTAAATCTAAATCGAAGCAAGCTCTACAACGTGGTACCTGAAGTGACAAACGATATTGGAGAAAGAAAGTAAACGATCAACAGTGTCCAAATTTTTGGACACCTTTATGTATGCTAGTGGTAAATTTCTATCTTGAACATTCAAAAATGCCAAGCAAGATACCTAAGATAAAATGATAATTTCGCAGACGATCTCTAAACTTGTTTCTATATAAAGTAGATACTGGTCCAAATACCCTAATTTTACGAGTACAAGTCACAAATGTTTCTCTCTGAAGTCGACCAACCTGAGCGCAATAAGAAATTTTTAATTAAAATTAGTCTCTGCCATGGTTTTCCTTAACCAACAATAAGAGTTATGTGGGATAGCGGTTATATTGCGAGGCACTCTAGCGCGGCCGAGCAGTTTGTTTGAAGTATGAAAAAGGTAAGTGTTGTACTCGTGGAATCAGGGTATTTAGCACAGATGCATATTTCCGCATTCAGCTACCTAAGCTAAAAAAATTAAGAAGAGAATTCTGATAATAACGCTTTGTATCGTACTAGTTCAAAAGTGAATTGTTAAGCAAATCCTCGAGATCATCAACGATGTGGACATTGACGGCAATGGACAGGTGGAGTTTCCAGAATTCTGCGTGATGATGAAAAGGTGGGCGCAAGTTACTCGACTTTTTGAGTAAATTCTATTAAGTCGTTCTTGTGCACAAAAGTTATCAGTGCTCCGTGCTTTGTAAAAAATGAGAAACACCTGTTCTACGTATCAGGCGTCATATGATTAGGAAAAAATTCAATACAGTACTGATTTGCAAATTGCAAAGGAGATCTTTTTGAGCTTGGTACGTTAAGGACTTGGTTTATGCCCTGTAAAAACACTACAATGCAATTTCCTATGTTTTGTTTGTGAGTATAAAATTTTGTTGGAAAAGTTTTTTTTGAATGCACAAACACCGAAAAGTAGATTTAGCGTTCAAAAGATAAGCTAAAATTTTTATTTCGTCTTTGTGCGTAAAGCAGAGTGCCAATGAAATAAAATATTGCTAGCCCGGGAATGAAAAATAAAGTCACACTCACACTTTTATATTGTTGTTTGCCTAACACAATTTAGCACAAATGCTTATCCTTGTCTGAAAAAACGAATTATCATTCTAAAGCTTCTCCTAGAATGTCATAAGTACTAATGGATGGTGAATCATAATGCGGAAGGAGCTTTCGACGAAGGTTAACAGCCTTAAATAAAAGATGTTGTCCTGCATTGCAATTCGAGTAGAAAAGGCTATAATAATTACTAATACATAATGCAAAAGGGCATGCACTTTCCGATATTTTCGTAAAAAAAAATCGAATAAAAACAAATAAAATATTCCGCGCACTAGATGTTTACCAGAACATGCCGTTTCAATATTTATACAAAAGCTAATTAACAGTGAGCGAAATGATAATTTTTGCTGAGGTTATCCCAAGTAATCTACTGCTTAGAGCAGTTAAAAAGGCACCTATCGTTTTCATGGAAAAATCAAACAAATCTTCGCTGAATAAAAATTTGAATAACAGGATCTATTCTCTTCTTTTTGTTCTTTATTCAATGAGGACGCTGTTTTGGGACGCTATGATGCAAAAAAACTTGTCCAGTATTCTTTGAGACCATTTGACATGAAGATTTACACACAGTGGCGGATGCAATGGACGCAAAAGTTAGGGGGAAGGAGGGAAGGTTCCCCAGAATAACCTAAAAACACTTGTCTTGCTCGTAAATAAGCATCACAAACCTTTTAAGGTGTTTTTCATGAAATGTTTCACTGGAGCGTCTAACGCCTACTTTCCCTCATTAGCTCAATGTTATAATAATGCAACAAACCTCTAGAGCTCATCAAAAATCTGAGAAAAGTGTGAAATCCTCGACCCGAGTTTGCTTATCTTCAACATTCAGGAAAGAACCAAGAAATAATACAGCATTTCTAGAGTGCGCGCTAATGTACACAGAGCATGTGCTGTTATGAATGTTCCATTCAAAAAATTGCTCAGAAATCTAACAAGGAAAGCATGTCTAGTCGAAGTGGCCTTTCCAAATGAGACCTATACTGCTTTGAAGAGCATTAAGCAGTGATTCCAAATCTGTTATCCAAATCTGTCAAGCGCCTCTGGACGCCGAGTTCTGGTCGTTTTTCATGTCAAAAAATTGAACGCAAAACTGAAGCAAAATCGCCCAAATTTGCTCAAGTGGTCCAGTGTCAAGTATCAAAGCAGTTCATGCAATGGGTACATTTTCTTTAATATGCTAATACTTGACATTGCTTTATCTGAGCGCTGGATAGATTGTAACAATCAATTTCACCTAAATTCTGCATTCATTTTTCGTTCCGAAGAACGGTAATAACTCTGCGTCCAGAGGCGCTTGGCAGATATGGAAGGCAGATTTGGAATCACCGTGCAATACTCTTCAAAGCAGTATGGGTCTCATCTGAAAAGGCCACTTCGACTATACACGCTTCCCTTGTAAGCTTACAAGCCTTTTTGCGATTCTGTAGATATAAGTGCACGTCGTTGACAATTTTTCCGATCTAACATCTATACCTCTGATAAAGTTTTCGTGTTTTCAATATCGTAGTTTCGTGAATATCAACTCTCGAGTTTTATTATAGAATGGATGCTGAACCCATTGTTGAAATAAGTCCATCTTACTTTGAAGCACCAAAGTGGTCGGCTGAAGTTTTTTGGATATTATCTTTGATTCCCCTTCGCATGCCTCATTAACTCTT